GAGAATCTCCTCAAAACAAGGCGGAAGAAGAAAATCAACTCCCCAAAGCTGTTTTCTGACCATCACACAAGCACCATGGCACACATGCACCTACATTCAAGACACACAAATACAACATACACACACACACAACAATAAATAAAATATAATCAATGAAATACTCTGTACATGAAACACTATAAAAAAGGAAAGAAAAGAAACAAAGTATCAGGAAACAAGGGGGCAGGGTTAATCAGGAAAGCTGTGTCTGGGCTTTGTTCCTTTCCTCACTGATGACCTGCCTCACTGCCTGCAGAGAATTTACTATAGAAATGCTTCAACTTCCCACAGTCCTTCCCAGATCAGGGTCTGGGGTACCGGCTTAAGAGCTCTCTTGTGCCAAAGATGTGAGATTTGGTGCAGTTACCTGAGTCTTTTTTAAAAAAATGTTTACTTATTTTTATGTGTATGAGTGTTTGCCTGCATGTATGTAAGCACACCTATGTCGTGCAATGCCTGTAGAGGTCAGAAGAGGGTGTTGGATTCCTTGGAACTAGAGTTACAGATGATTATTAGCTGCCATGGGGGTGCTGGGAACAGAACCTAGGTCCTCTGCAAGAGTAGCCAGTGCTCGTAACCACTGAGCCATCTCTCCAGCCCCATAGTTGTCTGAGCCTTAATGCTCAAGGCATAAGATATTTACCCAATGTTGCACCATTAGAATTGGGTCAGAAGTAAGAACAATGTTTACTGAACAGTTAAATCCCAAAGTACATAAGATGGTAAAACTGCTGCAAAGGATAAGTATAAAAAAATTAAAGCTACACTTATTCAAGATGTTGTCAGTAACATTAGCAAAAAGGCTGGGCTGGCACCACCAATCCTCATGCCCCCCAATCCTAGTGTACTGGCATATCCCATTACCAAGAAAGGCTCTCAGATCAGTAAAGTGCTGAGCGAGACTGATATGTGAGGTGTTGGCTGCTGATGCTGGAACTGAGGAACTTCAGAAGAAGTCTCAATCTCTGACACCCCTGAAGAACATGCTCAGGCTGCCATAGTTCCTGCAAAAGCAGACAAACCGGCAACCTGGTGACGAAAAGGTTGGAAAAAGGGCACATCACAGCACAGGATGGGAAGAATTGAGGGACAAACTAGAAACTACTGAAGCCATCCAGTTTCATCAAGGATATATTTCTCTATACTTTATTGACATCAAAAGGTCAGGGAGCTGGAGAGATGGCTCAGTGGTTAAGAACACTGGCTGTTCATGCAGAAGACCCAGGTTCGAATCTCAGCACCCACAGGGCAGCTAACAACTGTCTGTAACTCCAGTTCCAGGGGATCTGCAGCCTCATCTGTTTTCCTCGGGCATTGCACAACACGGGTGCCCTTACCTACATGCAGGCAATACATGTATACACATAAAATAAAAATTAAAAAAAAATTAAAAAAAAAAAAGGTCAAACATGAATTCCAAGATGCCTGTGTTCTACTGAGTGAAAAGAAAGTTTCTAACATCCAGCCCACTATAGCTACTCTTGAAATTGCCAATGCTCACCAGAAGCCCTCAGGCACAATCACTGAAGATGCTGATGGAGAGGCTCTGACCATGCTAGTTTTAAACAGGCTAAAAGCTGGTCCTCAGGTTACAATAGTCACAGTTCTGCTTTTGGTGACAATAGAATCAGCTTAAAAATATGGCTCCGGGGTGCCATGTTTAAGGAAGAAGGGTGACCTTAAACCTTGAAGATGTTGAGCTTAAGACTTAAAAGCTGGAGGGCTGGGGAGATGATTCAGTCGGTAAAAGCACTTGATGCACAAGCCTAACAACCTTAGTTTGATCCTCAGAACTCACATAAAAAGCTGGATGCAGGAGGGCAAATCTATAACCTCAGCATTCTAATGGCAAGATGGGATGGCACTGGATTTCCAGGAATGGAGTTATGGGTGGTTGAGAACAACCATGTGGATGTTGGGGAACTGGACTGGGTCCTCTACAATAGTAAGCTCTCTTAACTATTAAGCTATCTCTATAGTCCTACTTTACCATTTTAAATAAATTGTGACAGGAAGCTCAAGGCAGGGCCCCTCACCAGTAAGGGGCTGAAAGAAGTCAGCTGAAAACAGTGACTGAAGAAAAGACCGGCTGATGCGTAATTCAATCACTGCAGCCAACAGCTACCGGCTTCAGCTGACAATACGTGCTGGTTTATGATGCCAGTGTCTGAGCATCCAGATCATTTACTTTGGATTTCGAATAAAAAGGTATTTGAACACTCCTAATACCGGGTGCAAAAGCCACGTAGCATGCCCTGCTTCCAACCTAAATTGCTGAGGCATTTCCACCACTGAGAGTTTGGTGCTTGCCACTAGCAGGGGAGAAGCTCGAGAGGGGCCTTTCTGCGGAGGTAAGAATAACTGTGTACAAAGTAGAGACACGCAATTGTGCAACAGCCGTCATGTAATAAAAATTAATTTGTCTAAATTTTTTTTAAAGGGGGCTGAGAAGCCAGGTGTGGTGGTGCGCACCTTTAATCCCAGCACTTGGGAGGCAGAGGCAGGTGGATCTCTGTGAGATCGAGGTCAGCCTGATCTACACAGTGAGTTTCAGGCCAGCTGTGGCTACAGGGAGACCCTGTCTCAAAAAAACAACAAAGGAATTAAAAAATAAAAGGGGCTGAGGGTGCGATGTAGTGGTAGACTACTTGCCTCACATGCATAAGACCAGGTTCAATCCCCAGTACTGGAGGGGAAAAAGCACTTGCAAGATGGTTCAGCTAAGGCAGCTACCTCAGGTCTGATGATCTGAGTTCAAACACCAAGAACCACACGTTGGAAAGAGAAAACGGATTCTTGCAAGTTGTTCTCTGACTTCCACTCAAGCGCTAAGGTAAGCATGCCTCTGTCCCCTGACCACACACACACAATAGATAAGTCTAATAAGATAAAGTAACACACACACACACACACACACAAATCTAGATAATATATGCATGTGTGCATAGAAACAGGAAAGGAACATACCCAAAAGCAGAGAGAGGACTAAGAGAGAGAGGAAACTCAAACTCAGAGATCCACCTGCCTCTGCCTCCGGAGCACTGGAACTAAAGGCATGCGCCACGCGCCTGGCTGCATCTTTATTTTTGTCTTCTTCCCCCTCCCCCACCACGGTACTGCTTCAAATAAAACATTTCTAGCTGATTTCTTAGTCTAGACTTGGGAAAAAAAAAAAATCAATGCTCCTACAATCTCTCTTTTTTTTCTTCCATATCCAACAAGTGCCCATCACCTCAGAGAAAAGAAGAGTCACCACATCTTTGCAAGCAGATGTCACTAAATGAAACATGAAGCCTTCTGTTTAGTAAAGTAAAATGGGCATCTACTTAACACGACCGTGCCCCACAAAGAGCTCAAAGGCTTTTTTCCCTACCTTCACAGGATTAAGCAATATTGCTTTCGAAAACAGCTGCTGGTTCCCAGACAGCTATGTAAGTCTACCCCACCCTACCTACTCTCCACTGTTTGTATGTGGCTCAAGGAATCTATCCATTCTTTGCTCCAAGTTGTGGAACATGTGAGGAAAAAGACTGCAAAGAGGACCGGACCTCAGCACCTAACCCTCTAGTCCTGATGAAAACCCCGACTGTGGCAGTCTGAGGCAGAGAGCATGGAAGTGTGTCAAGGTGAGGTAAAACTTGTGCTTATTTTGAGGTTGGGGATGCTGATCTGGCTCCAGCTATATGTAAGCCTCAGGGACAAACAAGGGCCCTGAGGTCGGGCTTGGTCCATGAGTTTGAATACTAACCTCTGTCTGTAACACAATTCTACAACCAGGTATCTTGTCATCTTTGTAAATACACACACTTCCCATAACCCTGACTACAGCAGTTTTGGTGGAGTGGATACGGTTTGTGATGGTTAGGTAGGGAGTGGGAGGTTAGGAAGAGGTAACAATGAGGCTGGTCAAGGAGAGAGACAGGGTAGCAATCTGTAGGAGTCTGGGGACCACATGGGAGTCCATATGTGAGAAGAAATGCTTCGTGAATTTAGAGGATAAAGGAGGGAGTATTAAAGGGGGGAGATGGAATATGTGAGAGCCAGCTAGCTAATGGGACAGAGAGATGAGATGGACAGGGGCAGCCAACAGCACATATGGAACAGAAGAAGGGTACTTCTTCCAAGCCTAGCAAAAGAGAGGGCAGAGAGGAGGTTCAACGTGAGGTGAAAGGACGGACTACAAAAGGCCTTACAAAAGATCCACCTTCTCAGGGAAGGGCCCGCAGAAAGTAAAGAGGGCTGACCACAGAACCAGAGTGTAAGGGGGTGCGAGAGCGTTGCAGAATGGTTCTGAGGGCACTCCCACAACTAGAACCACAAAGGAGGCTCGTCAGTGACACAGACCATGATCTAAGGCAGTGGGTGTGTCATGTACCTCCTTGTGTGCAACAGAAGAGAAACATGGATGCTCACTCGGTCTGAGCCAAGAGAAAAAGGCAGTGTGGAGGAAGTTGACTGGGAAGGAGAGTAGATGGATGGAGCCCTAGTGGCCTCATCAAGATGGGGTGGACAGCAGAAGGCGAGCCACTGGAGTCATCAGAGGGTACGAGATCAGAGCTTAGTAAAAATACAGCTGAGACAGAGCGCAGTAGGAGAGTGCTTACCTAATGCACACAAGGCCCTAGGGTTAATCCCCAATACTGTAAATAAAATAAAATAAAATAAAAAGAATGTTGGGAATGCCTTGCCCGTCAACTATAGAAGGCAAAGCGCATCCCAAACTATAGCTTACCATTAGTCCCTTACAAGTATCAGAAAGTGATCAACTGCTTGTTACTGACAATTCCTGAGATGCAAAAGACCGACAAGCACTTAACTCTACAAAGTGGAGTGCCAAGAGGGATCAGGTAAACTCAGTTATCAACACTGCGACTTGGTAAAAGAGACAGTCTTTTCCTAAGACTGTGATGGCCCTGTTGTTACATCTGATGACACCCAGGCCCTCCCTTCTGAGAACCTACCTTAAGCAGCTCCACGGCCACAAGCACCTCCTCAGCCGGAACTTTGTTATCCCCCAGCATGTTAGAAAGAGTCCACTTGAGGGGCTTCAGCAGGAAGACTCCGACCCCCCAGGAGATCCAGCTGCTATCCACGCTGGCCATGAAGTCCGATTCTCGCTGCAGCTCTCCTCGACTACAGAGAAAGAGAAAAGCATGAAGGGACACTTAGTACAATGTTCTGCTCTAGTCTCCGTCCCTTTAGTCCCAGTGGCCTTTTACCATGGTCATAATTTACTAGGTATGTGTTCTGCACCAGCTACTAGGATGCCTGTCACTCGTCCTCCAGCGCTAAGCCTCCCAAGCACTCTGCAGGGTAGATGCTATCACCACATGCTAACTAATGAGGAGACTGACAGTCTGAGACGGTAAGGAGGAAGCCAGATGGAACCCACGATCTGTCTGGCTCTAAAATGCAAGCTTTCCACCAAAACAAGAGAGACACAAGAGGCTCCACCGGGTCCATGCTGAGCTTCCCCTCTACAGACAGACCTGAAAACACTCAAAAGAAAACATCAGTAATGGACCCTGTCAAGTGTAGGACATAAGGAGAAACACAAAGCCACACAGACAGGGCTTTCTGCTATTCAGCTGGGCTGGAGGTGCGATGTATTTCCTGGTACTAGTAACAACAGCTAAGTCTACTAAATGCTTCCCATGGGCAATCCACTGTATTAAGGGCCACAGAAATAGATGCAAGTTCTCACAATCAGCCTACAAAATGTCACCGCAACTTGAAAATTGGTCATACAAAGGCTTAAAGATGGCATGTAATCTATGCAACACCACAATTTAGAAAATGACAAAGCCAGGATTTGGGCCCAGCTGTGTGGCCCTCAAGCAAAGCTATTAACTACCATGCTATGTGGTGTCGGACCAGTTAAATACCAGGAAGCGTCAAAGACAGCATCGGCAGTCAAGAGGGGTTGTTTCAAAGTGTTAAAGGTCTCTGGATCAGACATGGTCAATGGCTATCCTGTAATAAGGAGGCTTATTCCTGTCTTTCCCTTCACTGACCTAGCTACTGTCTTCCCTGGTCTCTAATTCAGGCATCAGGTAAAACTTTCCACAGCATACTTTCTCAGAAAGGAGAGTTTTAGAAAGGCTTGTAGGTCAAGGTCAGGCAACGAAAGATACAGGGAACAGAAGATGAGACCGTTAGTGGGAGAGCATTAGGGGTGAGCAAACCTAACAGAGTTGGCTTCTCTTCACTCATTGAAGGAGGCATTCTAGTATGCTGGTCTTCATATGATTCACACAATGTGAAAACACAGTTTAGAATTCAGAGACCAGTCCTAGGGCTGGTTACTCTAACTAGCTGTGTAACCCTGAGTAAGTCACTTGATCTCTAAGACTCACTGTCTTCTGTTTGCTGAGGGTTAACTGTATTATCTTGCTGTAAGATTGCTGAAAGGGCCAGAGAAACGCAATAAACAGAACAAAGTATCTGCATGCTGGGAAATGCTGTATATCTGTTAGATAAGTCACTTCCTTGGGTTGGACACAAACACTGCATTCAAAACACACGTATCACCTAATGCCTTTCCAGGGCCCCAGATGCCCAGTTAAGCACTCATGCCCTCTGCCCCAAATAGTCTCTGCCAAGGCCAGGCCAAAAAAGGCCAGATGCACGATCAAAGTACCCATCTCGGAGACCTGCTCCAGGGGTACATTACATTTGGAAGTCCTTATGAAATAACGACATAATGAGATTCCAGTCCAGGTGAGCCACTGTCACCTCTGCCAGCTCGTCTGGAACCCATCTGTTCGGGCTATCCCAGGCACCCCAACCACCTCCGACCCCGTCCCCCCTTCCCCCCTCTCTGTGGGGTAAACTTGTCTCCTCCACCCACTGAACCTCGGACGCTGAGCCTGGGCCAAATCCCGGGCTGGGTACCGAGCGCCCTCAGAGAGCAGAGCGTATCTTGGGAGCCGCCCCCGCCCGCCCGCCCGCCGGCCGGCCGGCCCTCACCGCAGCAGGTCCTGCAGCACCGTGGCCAGCCCGAGCGGGACGCTGCCCTTGCGTTGGAAGGCCTCCTGCAAGTCCCGCAGACGCAGGCGCACCACCCCTTGGCGGCGGCTGTGGCTCAGTACCAACGGCGCCCAGAAGCCCATCTTGCTGTCCCAGTCGGTGCTGTTCACCTCGCGACTCCTCTTGAAGGCGGAGAACAGGAAGGACATGCGCTCCTCGTCCTCCTCCCACTCGGGCGGCAGGAGGCCCGCCGGGTCTCCCCCGGCCGGAGCCTGGGCCTCCCGCTCCGGGGACCACATCGGAACCCCAGCCCCGCCAAGGAACCCAACACAAGCCTGGCCCGGGTTCCCTTCCGCCCCAGGTCCCTCTCGGTTTCCGTCCGTTCCGTCACGCCCTCCTCCTCGGCCATCACGTCACCGCCGCCTGCGGCGTGAAGTAAGTCCCGCAAGTCCTCAGGGCGCAGGCGCAGCGCTTCCTTCCTTGGGCCAGGGGGCGGGGTGATGACGTTATCGTCAGAGATACTCAGAGCGCTTGCGCTCAGCGCTCCTTCCACAGTCTTTTGTGCGGCCAGAAGGGCTTTGCTGGTGGGCCGCTACCATAGAGTCCGGGAAAGCGCTCTAGAGAGGCGGATGGCACCTTCCGAGGTGTCCGACTTCAGGTAGTGGGACAGAGGACCCGAAGCTGGATCCGTCTAGTCCCCAGTCTTGGGTTAGACCGGTAGACCTCCAGGATACCCTCATGAGTGTCCCTGCGAAGCAGATGGCTTCGGTAGCTCCGTGACACTGCACGCTTATTTTCGGATTCCCACGCCTCTGCTCTGTACTCCCGCTCTTTCCTTCTGAGAACCCGTAGCTTCTCGGGTCTTTTAAAAGCCAGTCTAGGGGCCGCAGAGATGGCTCAGCGGTTAAGAGCACGGACTGCTCTTGCAGAGGACGTGGGTTTGGTTTCCAGCATGGTCCGTAACAACCTTAGTATTAACTCCAGTTCCAGGGGATCCAGCACCCTCTTCTGACTCTGCAGGCATTGCACTACAAGGGTGCACTGACAGACGGCCATGTAGGCAATACTCTCATACACATAATTTTTTTTTTAAGCTAGTCTAAGTCTGACTTGTCCCTGAAATCTTGGACTGTCCCAACCAACAGTTTGGCATTTACTAATCTTTCTCTGGATCCTTCTCCACTTCCCGAGGGAGGGCAGGTGCAGTGACTCCAGTGTCTTGCAGTGACAGCAGCCCTGCAGGAAACACTTTATAAACGGAAGGTGCTTAACCCTTCCTCTTTAATTATTTAGTAATTTCGAATGAATGAGAGCTCACATACAGGGTAAGAGTCTCATACAAAATAATCTTAAGGAATTTGAATCCGTTTAGTGTTGAGACTAAATGGTGGTGGTGGGTTTTCCTGAGCTGGGGACCTCTGGGGCGTGCTGATCAAACGCTTTCCCACTCAAGTATATTGATTTGAAAAGAACTATCTAAAAGATGAAAGGACCTGCCCATTGTAAATGCAAAGTAAAGCAAAGGAATTTCCTATTTACGTAAAAATGACTTGAGTTAAATACTTTTTTTTGGGGGGGGGCTTTTTGAGACGGTCTCTCTGTAGTCCTAGCTGGCCTGGAACACACTAAGTAGACCATGCTGGCCTTGAACTCACAGACATCCACCTGCCTCTGCCTCCCAAGTGCTGGGATTAAAGGCGTAAAAAAAGTATTTTATTATGTTTATTTTTTCTGTATGAGTGTATCACCTGAATGTATGTACGTGCACCTGTCATGCAATGCCCATGGAGGCCAGAAGACAGCGTTGGATCCCCAGGACTGGAGTTAGGGACAGTTGTTAACTGCCATGTGAGTGCTGGGAATTGAACTTGGGTCCTCTGCAAGAGCAGCCAGTGCACTTAACTACTGAGCCATCCCTCCAACCCAAATACTTGTTTTTGTAAAGTGATATTTCCTAGAGGGTTGTATGAAGGAAATGGGATGAGTTTCTGGGTTGACAGTAGTTGGAACCCGGTATAAGGATGAATTTTAATAAGCACTTTGAAAGCAGAGCAGGAATATGGTTGGTTATAAGATGTATGCATAAGGCTGGAGAGATGGCTCAGTTAAGAGCACTTGCTGTCTTCCAGAGTTTGATTCCCAGCACCCATGCCCCAGCATAACTGCCTATAACTCTAGCTCCAGGGGATACAATGTCCTCTTCAAGCTTTCATGGGCACCTGCCCACGTGACATATATTAACATGTATATAATAAATAAATCTTTACAAATGTATCACTTCATGTCTATGTATATTTCTCTAAGCATATTTAAAATATCTCAGTGCTAGTCTCCAAACACTTAAACAATATTTCATTTAGTATTCATAGCAAATTTATGAGGTAAGTTTTCCCATTTGCCCTGTTTTTACAGTTCAGCCACGACTATTAAATCTGATGGAGAAAAGATTTGTATGGGATATGAACAAATAGTTTGTTCCCTAAGAAGCAAATCTGTGCCATGCTGTCTGTCGTGCCCAGTGAATTCACTGCTTCCTGAAGGTAAGTGGTTTGTTTTCTCAACTTGGTTGAGGGTCTGATGAAGTCAAAGTAGCCCCAACCTACACGTTTTCAGGAGCACGTTCATGTACCTAGTGCTGCTTACATCTGAAAACTCCAGCTGCACCTTGATGCCTCCAGGCAGAAGGATCTGCTTTCACCTTTTGGAGTCTGGAAAAGTTACTGGGAGTAGTGAAGAGTGAAAAGAAAAGCTCTGGATTCTGAAGGGGGCTGTATTAGGGTTCTCTAAAGAAACAGAACCAGTAGAATGTGTGTGTATAACAACAATGGCTGCACCATACTGGAGAGGCTGAGAATCCGGTAGTTGCTCAGTCCACAAGGACTATCTCAGTAGTCCCAATCTGGTGCTGAAGGCCTGATGGATTCCAAGAGATCTGGTAATCTTCAGTCTATGTTGGAATTTGAAGAAGTTGGTCACAGCAGCAAGATGAACTCACCAGTGAGAGAGAAGGCAAGGGATAAAAAAGCAAGAGTGCCCTCCTGCCGTGGCCTTTTGTATGGGCTGCCATCAGAAGATACCATCCACATATACGTTCCAGCTTCAAATGATCCAATCAAGAAGTTCTCTCTCATTTCAGTTAATCCCAGATCCAGTCAAGTTGACACCCAGGATTAGCCATCACAAGTCCACCTCTTGTCAACTTGACACCCAATAGTATCTCTTTATGTCATGCTTAATTTTTACATGAAAACAATGGCAAGGTCACATTTCACCTAACATGATATAACTATCCCAAATGTCCTCCAGTTGGTGACAATTTTTTAGGGGGCAGGTTGGGGTCCAGCTGGAGGATGTAGGATCCAGGGGATGTGACCTTGAAGTTTATGCCTGATCCTCCATTCCTGGCCCACTCTCTGCTTCCTGTGTGCCATGAAGTGAACAGCTTCCTCCTCCATGGGCTGCCACAGCCAGGAGTTCTGCCTCACTAGAATCAATGTGCAAGTCTCTGAAACTGAGCTGAAATAAATCCTCTATTAATTGGCTTCTGTCTGCTATTTTGTCACATCAGTATGAAAAATGACTAACTTAATCTGCATTTGGGCTTTGTAAGTAAATATCAGCAGGACCCTAGGCAGGGAGATTCCCTCTCACATTCACTCTCTGATTTCTAAACTCTGACCCTGAGAGTTTTTCCAGCATACACATTGAGATGGTCTTTCTCATGTTTACTGTAGATAAACAAATTTGTGGAGACTTGTTCTGGGGAGACTGAAGAACAAAATTTCACCCATGCGTCTCCCCATTGTGGCAGTGTCTCCCACTCCAGCTTTAATCTACAGACATCACTGAGGCTTCACACATTGTCACATCACTCTAATGATGCTCCCCGTCTTCTCTGGCTTATCTGGGATACTTCATCATTTTCATAGAAATATGTATTATCATTTTATTTCTAGTATTAACCTCTGTCTCTAGTATTTATAACCTTTAGGACTGACTAAAAGAAAGGTGGAAAAAATAAATAAATCTATGCTTTTTTTGAAGAAGAACCCAAGCTCACTAATACCTATTTAGGTATCACTATATTCAGGAAGCTTTTTTATACCCTTATTCTTTCTCTTCTGTCCCTCCAGCTCTGGGTCTATCTTTCTATACCCTGTATGACTTCTATCAGCTCATGTGCCACACAGTTTTCTAAGTCTCTCTTTATGTACCTATCTCTGACTAGCCTAAGTGCCTTGCAACAGGAACTATGTTCTTAATTGTGTTTGTTTCTAGCATAGTACCTGGTACATGATAAGGCACGTTTGTTGCCTACTGTACTCACAATTCTTCCTACCTTTTGATTCTTTAATGTGGGGTAAACAAACCTGATCAACACCCTTAGATAATAACATTGGGGCTGTAGGCATGCGGCACCCCTGGCTTTTGCAAGTGGTTTCTGGAGGATAGAATTTAGGTCCTCGTGGTTGTGCAAATGCTTTACCGACCAAGCCATCTCCCCAGCCGCCTTTGGGGTTTTTCTACATAGCCAACCCATCATCTGTAAACAGTTTTATTTCTTCATTCCCAGGCTACATACTTTATTTCCTTCTCCTTTTAAGCCTGGTCAGCTTCATATTGACTAGAAATGGTATGAGTGGGTATTTATTATGTGGTTCTCGATTTTAGTGGAAAAACATCTAGTTTCTCACCATATATTATTTCTAACAAGAAAGATTTAAAACATAATTTATTGAGAATTTCATACATGCATACAAGGTGCTCCCTCCCGCCAGCTCCTCCATAGCTCCCCATCACTCCTTTGTGACAACTTCATGCACTCTTCTTTTTTTATGGGGTTCTTTGCTACTCCAACACTCCTCCCTCTGAAGAGGCAACCACAAAATCTTTTAAGGATTAGATAAGAGCTCCCAAATGCTTTTGACATTTTTAGCCTTTGGAATGGAGTATGTTGCTAAGAAACCCAAGGACATTTTGACTTTTAGCCAAGAAACTGGCTATTTTTCTTTGGGTTTTTTTTTACCCTAACTGCCTAGCCAATTCCTACCTCCTATCCTTATCACACCATCCTCTTAAGAGATTACCCAACTTGCAGATAGGGAATCAGGATGCAGACTGCTCCTACTTCTTCCATGCTGAACAGGGACTCAGGGTGAGGCAATTGGAGTACCCCTTTAGTGAGTCTATCTAAAAGACTCCCAAATTGCATAACTCTTATCTGTAGAGGGAAAAGAAAGTCCTTGACTGGTGAATAGGAGATGTGAAGGAGAAGTAAAGGCAAGAGTAATTAGCATTACAAGTTCTAGACAGGGAACTAGAAAAAACATCATAACAGGGCAAATTTCAAATGTTCATATGAGAGTCCATTGGAATTTCTTGATGAGAGCTTCCAAAAGCATCCCTCTATTGGGTTCCTCCTCATTTTTCATTTGTCTGCCAAGGCTGGACTTGAGAGTGATGGATTCAGGATTTGCTTTAGGCACTTCGATAGCTGTTGGAGTGGTTAGAATCAGTGTCAGTTCCCTCTCAAAGGCTTCTAGATAGGGGGAGAAAACAAATTTATCCATCATTTTAGA